CCAAAAAATTTTTTTTTTTTTTTTTTTTTTTTTTTTTTTTTGTATGAAAATATTCATGGTTTTGACACAAATGCTGACTAGTTTACATCGCAAATTAAGATGCGATATTTAATGAACTTGTGAACTTAAAAATTAACTGAAAATTACCGTTTTAAGGATTAGGATTTTCTGGGATCTTTTTTGTAAAATTTTGTCATGAAAATAGAATTGCATGTGTGTCAAACTGTGGCGAGGCATTCCCAGACATCCCGAAAAGCAGTGAGCATGTGTGCACTAACTGAGACACGCCCTTGCTGTTACGTACAGACGTACACACACTCTCTCACACACACCCAGACACACTTGCAGCCATGTGCTCCATAATAGACCTCTGATTCAGCCCTGAATAGAGTTCCCACGCCTCAGTGTGTGTCTGTAATAGTTAAGGGTGTAGACCCCCCCACCCCCACCCTTTTCAAAAGATACTTGTGTACTCTCACACACGCAGTCTAGACTAAAGATGTCTCCTTCATTCTGTTTCGAGGTGTATTTTAACAGCTACACACTGTGAATTGATAATTAGTTCATTTCGGATGAAGTTCCCAGGGTGGAATTTAACGAAGGATGTGACAAAGCGATCAAAACTATTAAAAGCCTCGTAGATTATAATAAATGTCACTTAAATATTTGCGTAATGTTTTTTTTTTATATTTTAAGTCATTTTAATTTTCAGTTTAATGTATAAATTGAATTTATGGAATGGTATGGAATTTCAGCTGAATAGCGTAACATGATCTGCACTAAAAAGGCAATACTTATGAAATGAATTCATGAATTACTTTACATACGTGTTATTGTGTGATGTTTCAAGCCAGGTTATGTTAATTGTTGAATATTAGTTTGTGTATTTTTTAATATTTCAAATTGTGTAATGGTCCAAATGCAGTATGAATGTGTATTATTAAATGGCACATCTCTCTCTCTCTTTTTTTTTTGTTTTTTTTATTTATTTAATTTTTATTTTTTGGTGGAAGTTTGGAGGCAAATACAATTATAGATAGATAAAATATAAATTATGTTTGTGTACTCTTTTGGACATTTTCTGTTTTTATCAAGCAGATATACATTTGTATTCTCAGGAACTAATGGTTTATGTTATTTATTAATATCCTGAGGATAACAACAGAAAAGCTGACGGACCCTTGGCATATCGGTGTGTTTGTCTTCAGTATTTTAAAATGTTTTAACCTTTTTTTGGAACACATTTATTTGTTTCCTGTGTTTTTCATTATCATTAGTCAACTTAATCTGAAAATGATTATACTTTAATATCAGGATTAAACTAAATAACTAATAATTATAATTATTTAAAGAGTTCTTACCGTGTTTTAGAGATTTAGATTAGCGTTTGAAGGAGTTATTAAAGGAGTGTGTGAAGGAGTGATTATTGATTTGGATGAGGTACTTATATTTTTATGATTTTCATGCACACGAATGTCTTCTAAACATTAGAAATATTGTTTGCAGTATTGCTCATATTTTTGTTTTCTGTTCGATCTATTTCATTTTAAAACAAAAATAGATGAAAGATAAATGTATCCTTTTTGGAAGTTTTTCATATTTTAGATTTGTATTTCATTCATTAATGTCTTGTCTGAATTTTATGGCAGACTCGCAGCAAAATGTAGAGAATTTGCACATTACATAATAAAAAAAAAAAGACGGTATAATACGAAAATGTTTTAAATGAATCTGTATACATAATTCTAAATAAACTATTATGTAATTTTTAAACACTGCACATTTTTTTAGTAATTAGTTATGATGGCAGAAGTAGACGGGCATGTTTTTCTATATTTCTTTATAATAAAGATCCTAAGCCAGTACACTCCTATAGACTCTATAGTGAAGTGAAAAGGAAAAGGAGTGGAGGTCATTTGGGGATAGCAGTTCTCAACTAACTTGCTTCCCATGGACACAATAGAAGCCAGACATGATTGGCAGGTGACAAAAGGTGGGGTGGAGCTGAGTAATTGTTCAACACTAAAATTATGTCATGGGCAAGTCTTGAGACCAAAGGCCGCTTGCAGTTTTAGCAAAGGCTTGTGTCCTGTTGTGTGATTGTGTTGGTTTGTGCGTTTTGTCTCACTAAAATTTATATTCACTGCATTTAGGTTTTTCTAGCAGAACGAAATGTTTACCTCAATTTTTCATAAACGCAACTAACTAAATACAAGGAGCCATGGCCTGCCCAGACAAAGCAGAATAATATTATGATACCGATCACGCGTGTAATCTGCGGTTTAAAGTTCAAGCTCAAAGTCCATTACAGACATTGTATTCACTCTCTGTTGTAATCAGTCTGGGATATCTCTCCCCCTCCGGCAAGTCACATGAGGTCTTTTTTTTTCCTTTCACTGATTTTGTTTGAACAGACATATAATACAAACACAGAAGATGGCTTTGCTTCGGGAGCGATAAAACAGCCAGAGCTTTATTCTGTCAATCAACAGTTCTTAAATCATGTAACACAAAATGTTGCTTCAAAGACCGTGCGACAGGTTTCTTTGTCGTATAACTTGTTTGTACCTGCAGTATTGACACTGCACAAATAGGGATATAAACAAAGTGTGAATGAGCTGTACACCAAAAAGTCAAACGATGATTAAAGGAAATAAGAATCTCTATGTTTAGCAGCCTTTCTGTATAATGGGCCTATTTTCACTGAATGGTGAAAAACTGAGGGAATATGGCATAAGGGCGACACCTTATGGCAGTTGGCTACTCCTCCAGCTCTTAAAAGTTCCAGTAATTCAAGAGCGTAACGATCTATGGTTTGTTTCACCACTAATGTAAACTACAACCTGACTGCTTTTATCAGTAGCAATGTTTCTAATACTCTGGTGATGTTCTTAAGATGTTAGTAATCAAA